GAAGGAGGGCTCCAGAGCTAACTAATTTATGCGGCAGCCAAATCGCTCGGCTCACAACTTTAATGCCAGCAGCTCACAAAGTAGAATTTTTGCTCACAAGACTTCACAGCTTAGAGGGAACATTGGTAACCCACTACACTTCATCCATGGTTTCTGTAAAACCCTCCTCCGACACCACATTTCAAAGAAATCGACTGTCTTCCTGTCAACTTTCTTCATTGTCCAACTTTCACACCTGTACAGAGGGATGGGGAACACTAGGGCATGAATTATCTTGGTCACCAGCGACCCATCCTCACACCTAAGAATTTTTTCTATCACCTTCAGGGCTGCCCTTCCCAGCCTCAGCCTCCTCCTGATTTTCCCTTTCGTTTGGCGATAGAGCCCAGGAACAGAAAATCTGGAACAATTTTGATTACCTACAGAAATATTTAGCAGATGTTAATCCCATCCTTTTCTCCAAAAAAGATTTGGGACGGTGTACGCCATTTTCCTTTCCTCCATTTTATCCTCACAAGAAGGATAAAATACCCTGCCCTTCACTACCCGAAGGAGTCTCAGAGCAGCTTACAATCTCCTTTCCCTTCCCCTCCCCACAACAGACACCCTGTGGGGCTGAGAGAGCTCTCTTGAGGACTGCTCGTGAGAGAATAGCTCTGAGAGAACTTGTGACCGACCCAAGGTCACTCCAGCAGCTGAGTGTGGAGGAGTGAAGAATCAACCCTGCTTCTCCCAGATTAGAGTCCACCACTCTTAACCACTCCACCAAGCTGGCTCTCAGCTAGGGGCGGATGGGCCATTTGGATCAACAGGACTTTTCCCGGTGGGCTGATGGCCTGCCAGTCTAGTGGCATGAAGGGTGGGCTCAGGCAAGAGTAGATGTGCCAAGAACCCGAAACAGGGAACATGGTAGGTAACGCCCAATACCCCACGATAGAACGCTGTGATACAAGGGTGCATTCCATTTCGTTGAAAGCAAAAAGGAAAAGAAGAATCCCGAGACAGATTTTGTGAAGTCCTTTTTTGTATGTTTGGTGATTCTTGAGAAATAATAAATGGAAACGGCGTCAGGCATCCACGGCTATCCGTCAGATCGCAAGTGAACTGCAGGCTGAAGCTACGAATACAGCTCCTTTTCTCCCCCTTTACCTATTTGGACTTGGGAGGATTCTATATAGGAAATATTGCCATCACATTTAACTCTGTTAATACTTGTAGTTCTGAAAGTCTTTACATTAAGGCACCCTATACAAAGTTTCTTTGTTGTACTCTTACAACATTTAGTAATGAGTCTCCATGAGAAATATGCTGCATTCTGATATTTCATCACATTGGGGAAGGTATCGGATATGATTATTTATTTTGGGGCCCCCGTAGGGGATTTTTTTTTTATTTCTATTTTCTAAAAACTACAACAAAATTAGGGAGGGGATCTACAACTATAGGAGAAAGAAAAGAAAACCTACTAAAACCCCAAGAGTTGGAGGTCATACATTGCTTATAAAAGTATTCGCTTAACAATATAAAAGTTGCTTTTCTTGACGTTGAGAGTGACCAATCATCATCATTGATTATGTTAACAAACCATCAAATCTGACTGTATAAAGAGCGTTCCAGGATAATTGCTAGTTCACTCAAACACAAATTTCAGAGAACAGCGGCATCGCGTTTTACAATTAATCTTCCCTCCGCAATTATATTACTTGCTAATACCTGGAATATAATTAATATTTTAACGTGGGAAACTCCAGGGGGTGGCTGGAGGTCTTCTGGGATTACAATTGATCTCCAGGTTACAGGGGCTGCCGTCACACACACTAGATAATCCACCTTCAATCCACTTTCTAGGCACTTTCTAACTAGGTTTTGCCACTTCACAACACAGTAAAATCCAGTTGGAAAGTGCACTGAAAGTGGATGGAAAGTGGATTATCTAGTGCGTGTGACCGAAGCCAGAGATCAGTTCCCCTGTAGAACATGGAGCTTGAGGTGGGCGGGGTTTGGGGAGGGGAGGGATTTCAGTGGGGTATAATGACAGACAGCCCACTTTCCAAAGCGGCCGTTTTCACCAGGGAAACTGATCTCTGTCCCCTGGTGACCAGTTGTCATCCCAGTCGATCTCCTGACACCACCCAGAGGATGGCAACCCTAGCAAACAGGATGTTATGTGTGGCACCAAAAATGGCGGATCCATCAGACTCTGAAGGCCCAGCCCATCAAGATGGTTGCCTGCACAAGCCCCATTGAAACGAACTGGGGCTACGGCTCAGTGGAAGAGCATCTGCTTGGCATGCAGAAGGTCCCGGGTTCAATCCCCGGCATCTCCAGTTAAGAGGACCAGGCAGGAGGGGATGGGAAAGACCTCCGCCTGAGACCCTGGAGAGCCATGAAGTGGGGCTGTAGCTCAGTGGAAGAGCCTCTGCTTGGCATGCAGAAGAGCCCCAGTTCTATCCCCGGCTTCTCCAGTTAAAAGGACCAGGGAGCAGGAGACGATGGGAAAGACCTCTGCCTGAGACCCTGGAGAGCCATGAAGTGGGGCTGTAGCTCAGTGGCAGAGCCTCTGCTTGGCATGCAGGAGGTCCCAGGTTCAATCCCTGGCATCTCCAAAGGAAAGGATCAGGCAGGAGGTGATGTGAAAGACCCTGGAGAGCCATGAAGTGGGGCTGTGGCTCAGTGGCAGAGCCTCTGCTTGGCATGCAGAAGGTCCCAGGTTCAATCCCCGGCATCTCCAGTTAAGAGGACCAGGCAGGAGGGGATGTGAAAGACCTCCGCCTGAGACCCTGGAGAGCCATGAATTGGGGCAGTGGCTCAGTGGAAGAGCCTCTGCTTGGCATGCAGAAGAGCCCCAGTTCTATCCCCGGCTTCTCCAGTTAAAAGGACCAGGGAGCAGGAGATGATGGGAAAGACCTCTTCCTGACACCCTGGAAAGTCATGAAGTGGGGCTGTAGCTCAGTGGCAGAGCCTCTGCTTGGCATGCAGAAGGTCCCAGGTTCAATCCCCGGCATCTCCAAAGGAAAGGATCAGGCAGGAGGGGATGGGAAAGACCTCCGCCTGAGACCCTGGAGAGCCATGAATTGGGGCTGTAGCTCAGTGGCAGAGCCTCTGCTTGGCATGCAGAAGGTCCAAGGTTCAATCCCCGGCATCTCCAAAGGAAAGGATCAGGCAGGAGGGGATGGGAAAGACCTCCGCCTGAGACCCTGGAGAGCCATGAAGTGGGGCTGTAGCTCAATGGGAGAGCGTCTGCTTGGCGTGCAGAAGGTCCCAGGTTCAATCCCCAGCATCTCCAGTTAAAAGGGCCAGGCAGGACGGGATGGGAAAGACCTGCGCCTGAGACCCTGGAGAGCCATGAAGTGGGGCTGTAGCTCAGTGGCAGAGCATCTACTTGGCATGCAGAAGGTCCCAGGTTCAATCCCCGGCATCTCCAGTTAAGAGGACCAGTCAGGAGGGGATGGGGGCAAAGCCTGAGACCCCGGAGAGCCACTGCCATTCTGAGCAGACCATCCTGACCTTGAAGGACCAAGGGTCTGATTCAGTACAAGGCAGCTTCATGTGTGTCCAGTTATGCAAGAGTCCAGTCATTCCTTTTTGGGCAGGAACGCACAGGAACGGAGTTCCGTCTGGCTTCAGAGTTGGCCACGCCCACTACAGCCCAAACCTCTGCGTGTGCAGCTACGGAGGGAAGGCCTGGAGAACGACACACACACACTGGTGACTCTGAGGCGGGCGGGCCAGGGGGGCCCCTGGAAGGATCGGGGAGGCATTTAAACCTCCATGTGCCTTTCCCTGGCCTGTCCAAGGGCCGGCTTGCCCAGGCTCCCCGCAGCCACAGGGCTCCTGGGAAAGCCAAGGGAAGGTATGGGATGAGGCCTAATAGGCTAATGAGTTCCTGCTGTTGGGTGTGGTTTATAATGCTAATGAGTTCCTGCTGGGCTTTTTCTACCAAAAAAAAGCCCTGCCTTTCACGATGAGGGGAGCAGGGGACCCTGCCAGTGGATTGTGCCCTGTTCTAAATAGTGAGGGGCAGGCGGGGGATCTGCTTGGGTTTTCCAGCACAGACAGGTTGACAACTTCCTCGGCAGGAAAGTAGCCTGTCCCATCCCGGTGTCTTTCACATCAGCTTGCTGTGCGGATCTTAGCTGGTGGAAGTTTTCCTGTCCGGGTTGCCAACCTCCAGGTGAGGCCCAGAGGCCTCCTGGAATTGCAATTGATCTCCAGATGACAGTGATCATTCCCCCCCTGGGGAAAACGGATACTTTGGAGGGTGGATTTTATGACATCATACCTTGCTGAGGCGCCTCCCCTCCCCAAACCCCATCCTCACCAAGCTCCACCCCCAAATCTCCAGGAATATCCTGTCCCTGAGCTGGCAACCCTAGTCCCAATGGGCCAAGAGAAAACTATCCTGCCTCTTGAATAGAGGCTTAACACGTAGAAATGGGCCACTGGAGATTTTCACAGGTGTGGAGTCAAACGCCATCACCTGATAACTGCTGTGGATCAAAATTGGTATTCAAGGGAAGAGTTTAAGAATGGACATCCTCCATCCCCTGCGGATGTCTGCAGATGAAACAGTCCGCAGACAGGTGGTGTAGTGGTTAGGAGCGCCGACTCTAATCTGGGAGAACCGGGTTTGATTCCCCACTCTTCCACATGCAGCTGCTGGCGTCACCTTCGGTCAGTCACAAGTTCTGTCAGAGCTGTTCTCTCAAGAGCAGTTCTCGAAAGAGCTCTCTCTCAGCCCCACCAACCTCACAGGGGGTCTGTGGTGGGGAGGGGAAGGGAAAGGAGATTGTAAGCCCCTCTGAGACTCCTTCGGGTTGTGAAGGGCGGGGGATAAATCCAATCCACTCCTCTTCTTCCTCTTCCTCTTCCTCTTCTTCTTCTTCTTCTTCCTCTTCCCCCCAGTCCTACAACTGGAGGACGGGCCTAATGGGAAAGGGTGGGGGGAGAAAAACTGACTGGCCTCATCTTGACGACCTCTCCCCTTTCCAGCAGCGGACATGGCTTACCAGACTGAGATGATCATAGATGCCCAACCCCAGCCCATGGGCAACAGCTACACCTTCAGCAGCCAGGCGGCCTGGAGTTCGGATCTGTGCGACTGCTGTTCCGACATGGGTGTTTGTAAGTAGCCGAAGCCCAACACCTCCAAAGGGAAGCTCCCCCCCCCCCCCCCCAAATACAGCCTTTGACTAGTAAAACCAGGATATTTGTCTATCTGGCACAGTCTTATCCTGCCTTTCCTTCAGTTTGGTTTAGTGGACTCTAATCTGGAGAACCGGGTTTGATTCCCCGCTCCTCCACATGCGCCGCCAGCTGGGTGATCTGGGTTCAGCCACAAGTTCTCTTAGAGCTGTTCTCGAAAGAGCAGTTCTCGAAAGAGCTCTCTCAACCTCCTTTCCCTCCCCACAACAGACACCCTGTGAGGTAGGTGGGTCTGAGAGAGCCCTTTCGAGGACTGCTCCTGAGAGGACAGCTCTTTTTTTTCTTTTTTGAAATGTTTATTAAGTATAAGATATCAAAACATACAATAACTGCAAAACATTATGCAGAAGTCTTGAGAATCCGAAATTACAAACCAATCGGTTAGTCACCAACAAAACATTAACATACATCTACAGCTATAACATAATAAGACGGTATCAATTCCACTCACCTATACAAAAGTGCTGTTTAAACCATAAATTCCAATGAATTTTTATTTATTTTATTTTATTGTATTTATACCCCGCCCTCCCCACGAACGGGCTCAGGGTGGCTCACATAGGGCACTAAGTGCATACGATATACAAAATTACATAATACAAAAATACAGATTTTAAAACAGATTAAAATCAATTCTATGGATGCACATATAGACTCCTAACATCTTGTGTAACAGAGGGAAGGCTGGGGTAATAGAAAGATGTTACCCAGCCCCCCAGCGGTCTCTCTCTATAAAGAAAGACCTGGCCCTTGTTGCCACAAGCTTGGCCTCCTTAGGGCCTGGGGTCACCAGCCGGTGTTGTGACCCCAACCGAAGTGCTCTTTGGGGAATATATGGGGAAATGCGGTCTCTCAGGTAGGTCGGACCCTGGCCATGTAGGGCTTTAAAGGTAAGCACCAGCACTTTGAAGCGAATCCGGTATGCTATAGGCAGCCAGTGCAGCGCTTTCAGCACAGGTCGGGTGTGCTCCCAGCCCGAGGCGCCCACCAACAACCTGGCCGCAGCATTCTGCACCAGCTGTAGCTTCCGGATTTGCGACATAGGCAGCCCCATGTAGAGAGCGTTGCAGTAGTCTAGCCTCGAGGTGACTGTCGCATGGATCACTGTAGCTAGGTCATTGCGGTCAAGGAAAGGAACCAACTGCCATATCAGCCGAAGATGATAAAAGGCTGATCTGGCAGTGGCCGCCACCTGGGCCTCCATTGTTAAGGTAGGGTCCAGGAGCACTCCCAAACTTCTAACCTCCGAGGCTGGCACCAGGGGTGCCCCGTCGAAGGTCGTGAGCGGGAGCCCTAACCTGAATCCGGTCCGACTCAAGCACAGGACCTCCGAATTAACCCAAGGCCACACCAGCAGCTGCATGTGGGGGAGTGGGAAGCTGGGTGGCCTTGGGTGAGTCACAAGTTCTCTCAGGGCTGTTCTCTCAGGAGCAGTTCTCAAAAGGGCTCTCTCAGGCCCACCTACCTCAGAGGGTGTCTGTTGTGGGGAGGGGAAGGGAAGGAGCTTGTAAGCCGCTCTGAGACTCTGAATGAAGGACAGGGTATAAATCCAACTCTTCTTCTCCTTCTCCTCTGAGCTCCAGGCAGCATACGTGGCTCTCCCTCCCGTTGTATTCTCACGACACTCTTGTGAGGTAGGCCAAGCTGGAAAAGAGCAACTTGCCCAAATTCACCCAGCAAGTTAAATGGCAAGATGGGAACTGGAGCTCTGAATCTTCCAGCTACTAGCTATACCACGCTGACCAAATTCTGCTGGGGAACGGCTCCTGAACTCCTCTAGAAATCCGAATTTTCACTGAGCTGCGTGGTCCCAGGGTCCACCAGGTTCCGGTTTGGCCCTTCTCACACCCACTTCCTCCCCTGTGTCGTCCCTGAACTGAGAGGACCCGCCCCATCTCTGCCTCCTCCATCCGGAAGGCTATTTTAAGTTGGCGGTTTGGGTGGGGGAGGCTGAGGGGGTGACATTACCTAACAGGGAGCATTTAGAACTTAAATAATTTAGCTACCGTGTCAGTCTGTGGGTTGAGAGATGCCACGATCCAGCGAGGACCATTTTAGCGCTTCAATAATTTAGATCCCACGTCAGGTTCTCGCAGGACTGAACAAAGGAAGACCGAATAAAACCGATAAAACTGGTGGCAGTGGGTGTGTGGGAGGTAAACTGGGGGTTGCCTAAGGATTGGCTGTTAGCAGCCCTGGACTCAAGCCTGGAGGCCCCACGTGCTGGACGTCACAGGCGCTGTCCTATACCCCCTTCCTTAAGGTCTTTAAGGCCAACAAAGCATCTCGGAGTAGAATTCTGTTGGGGGGATTCTGTTCTTGGAAGGCAGAAGGAATCGGAAACCGGTTCGAAGGCTGAGACGTATTTTGGCTTTGGGGAGCAGCAATGGAACGAAGAGGTCTGCAGTCACTCATGTAGTATATACGGGGCATACAAAACCCCCACCCCTTCTTTTTGCCATCAACTCTCAAGCAACTTATGGCAATCCTGTAGGGTTTTCAAGAAAAGAGGTGTTTAGAGGTGGTTTGCCATTGCCTGCCTCTGCATAGCAACTATGGACTTTGTCAGTGATCTCCCGTTCAAATAATAACCAGAGCGGACCCTGCTTAGCTTCCAAGACTTGATGAGATTGGAGTAGCCCAGGCCATCCAAGTCAGGGCAGGGACAAACAAAGGTAGTTTGCCACTGCCTGCCTCTGCGCAGCAACCCAAGGACTTTCTTGAAGGTCTCCCATCCAGGGTTATTTTTGGGCAGGAACGCACAGGAACGGAGTTCCGGCTGGCTCCCGAGTTGGCCACGCCCAGCAGGAACTCATTAGCATAATAGACCACACCCAAGAGCAGGAACTCATTAGGATTGGCTACATTAGGGGTGTGTGGCCTAACATGCAAAGGAGTCCCTGCTACAAAAAAAGGCCCTGGGTTTTGACAACAAACAAGGTAAACAGAATAAGAAGCAAAAGGTGGGTGTGGCTGGATGACCACACTTCTGGTAACATGGGGGTGTGGCCTAATGTGCTAATGAGCTGTGCTGTCAGGGGTGTGGCCCAACATGCTAATGAGTTCCTGCTGTTGGGTGTGGCCTATTATGCTAATGAGTTCCTGCTGGGCTTCTTCTACAAAAAGAGCCCTGCTCCCATCCAAGGACTAACCAGCGCTGACCCTGCTGAGCTTCTGAGAGCAGGCTCACCTGGGCTATCCAGGTGAGGGTCACAGATGTCCCAGCAGAGAAAAAGACAGGGCGTGTGTCTTTGGCGTTCCTGCCCAGAAGCTGCCGTGAATGAAGACTCCAACTTTCCATTCTGGAAACAAAGTTTCTAGCCCTTCACACTGGAGACCCTGGAAACATCTTCTATCCTCTTTGGGGTTTTTTTCTTCAGTATAACCTCATTCCTTTTTTAAAAAGAACCCCATTAAAAATGTGAATCCAGGAACCGATCGGAAAGATGTCAAGTGAAGCATCCTCCGGCGAGGAAGCAATTTCTGTGGTTTAACATCCGCGATTGCAGAATTTG